CCACAGTCTCTTGGCTGGGAAGCACCAGCTGCTGGGATTCTACCTGCCCACACTGGCCGACTCCCTGAGTGCCATTTGTTGGCTGCTGGTGTTGCTTTTTTCCGCTTCTTTTTATTTCTTCCTTACCTCTTACCACCTCCCTCTCCTTTCACTCAAATACCTGGCTCCATGTGCCATCTTTGCTTCTTCCTGAGGGGCTGTGGAGCTCTGCTCAAGTGTGGAACTGCCTCCCGGTCCATGCTGCCATGCTGGTGGGATCATGGGGCTTTTTTTTGTTTTTTCTGCTTTAAATTGTTTTTCTTTTTCTTTTCTCAAGTTGGGAGCCTGTTATGGCCGGGCAGTACTGCATGACTTGGGACCTAACCCCTCAGCTTGTGCAGATGTGCAGAGGGATCCCTGAGAGCATTTCTTTTTTGTGGGTTTTTTTTTTTTCTCTTTGGTGGTTTTTCTTGTTTTTTTTTTTTAATTTGTTTTGTTTTCTTTTCCTCTTTTTCCCTTTTTGTCTTTCTTCATTACTCAGTTTCTCGTCCCCCTATACCTTCCTTTTCTTCCTGTCCCCTGAATACCTGGTGCTGAGTGACACCTCTACGCCTTCTGGCCAGGCAGTTCAACACCTGGGAACAACTTCTCCAGACCTCACAGCCACACCGGTGGAATCCCTGGGAGATTTTCTTTCTTTTTTTCTACTTTTTATTTATTCATTCTTTTCTTTTTTTTCTTCTTCCCCTTTTGGTTTTTCTCCATTTCCTGGTCTCTCATCTCTCCATTCCAACAGCAAGCTCCCCTAGCCCTCTTTTTTGTTTGTTTGTATGTTTTTGACTCCTGTTCCTCTCTCCTCTCTCTCATCTTTCCCATACACATCTTAGCTCCACACATCACAATATACCCCCTCCATCCTGCCTACCTGCACCGTGCGCTTAACATCACACCACCAAGCAGCACAGGCACGGCCAACTTGAACGTGCCCTGCACTGATTAGCGACCCGCCCTGCTGGCTGCAGTAAGTGCCACAAACAACCCATCCCAGCAAATCCTCTTCAGCTAGACCTGCCCCTGTACCACATCTGAGCGACTGACCCTGCCAATTGGAGGCGAAAAGTATCGTGCCCACAGACAAGCAAACAACAAAGAACACACAGCCCGCCTGCTCAAACACAGCCAAATAAAAAAAAAGGCATGGAAAAAACAAATCTACAATCAGTAAACGAGAAAAATAACTACTGAATGCCCCGAAGACAGCAGACAATATCAAAACATTTACAAAAACAGGACAGGATAGTTCCAGCAGACATCCAAAGTAAAACACCTGATGACTTTCCAGTAGAAGAAAAGGGACTAGAACTACCTGATAGGGAATTCAGATCTCTAATACTCAAAATTATCCAAGAGTTGAAGCAAAAAAGCAGAAAAAAATGAGGAAAAAACAAATTCATGGAAAAGGCAGACAAATACATGGAAAATACTGACAAAAAAATGGAAGAATTTGGGAAAACAATGCAGGAACAAAATGCCAAAATAAATTCACAACTAGAAATTAATAAAAAAACAACAATTAGAAATCCAAAAGATAAACAAGATTTCAGAAATGGACAGTGCCATAGAAGGGCTGAGGAGCAGATTTGAAATGGTGGAAGACAGGATCAGCGGCATTGAAGACAAACACTTGGATACAACTCTGAGGAAAACTCAGAAAAAAGAACAAAGAAAAATGAAGAGACCCTGAGAATTATGTGGGATACACTCAAAAGGAAAAATTTTCAAGTGATCGGAGTTCGAGAACGGGGAGAAAACAAAATACAGAGGATCACTGAAGAACTGCTGACAGAAAACTTCCCCAATATCATGAAAGATGAAAAGCTGACCATCCAAGAAGCTCAATGAACCCCATATAGGATACATCCCAAAAGAAAATCAACAAGGCATATCATAATCACACTC